CGTTGTCCCCTCTTTTATATACCCGACTACCCTATATCTAGGAAGAACTAGAACATTCGCCAAAGTACAGGATAATTCTAGAAAGTAGAGAGCGTGAGAATCACATGATCTCGATGACCCAACAATATATATAGACATATACAAATTACTCTAACTCAGCTGTATTTCTGTACAACGTCCTTCTTCAACCCTTTTGTTTATTAACTTTTTAAGGTATCTTAAATTGCAGTATTATTATTTCGTTGTTGAGCTGTAGGTGATAACCATCGTTATTATTATCATACTCCGGGTTATTTTGATTGGTCAGTTTCCTTCGAGTCGCGCGACGAGAAAACAAAAATATTAATTTAAAGACAGGTTCTATTTAATCGAAACGAACATTTTTGAAAGCGCCGTCGCTTGGGTAGATACCCTCATTTGACTGCAGTTCTTCTAAGGCATTCGCTCGCATCCAGTGTAGATAGATCTAACATCTACTGACCCTAGAAAAGAGGCCCCACTTCTAAACGTGTCACACCGTTTCTTTTTTAAAATGTCCAGAAAACATAACCAAAGGATATATCTATCAACATAATTTTCACTCACGTTATTCGTTTGAGCAAGTTTCGTAATGAACCAACTCCGATAAAACTTGTAATTGGATCAAGTGGGAAGTCCATATTATAAATGCCATCTGAAATTTATATAAAAATATACTGAAATATTGATGTTTTTTTTATATATTCTTATTATGCTTATTTTTGCTAACAAGCTTTTGTGGATAATTTATTGTGTTGATTCTAAGGATCATTGTATAAATTTAATGTTTTTGTTTTCCCAAGGCACAAAATCAGATATTTTTGATTTAACAGCATGCTTGTTTCTGTTTATTGACATGTATTATAGCAGTATCCGTTTTTTTGAAGGAGCCGATCTAGGGTGTCTGGACTCTTTCTCCATTGTTTTTTTTGCACAAATTTATGATAATAAAAAAAAACGCCAGACGTTCTTACACAACCATTTAATATCAAGAAAAACCTGAGAGATTTCAAACCCTCGCTCCGCCGCTCCTTTTCGAGATTGCACGCGTTTACATCGGATAACGTCAAATTTCACCTTCGAAAAAACAGAAAATCATTCTGAGATCCAGAATGATCAATGATTCGGGTAATTTTTTTGTAGTGTGATGAGGAATGTCAGCCTTAATGTGCCCATGAAATTTGGTACAAATCCAATCATACTTAACAGAGTTATTAATCCAAAACCGCGAAAATGCCCTATCTCCCCATTATAAAAAAATGCTTCAAAGTGATCCAGAACCCGGATCAAATTTGGGGAGGAGTATCCCATAACGACTTCCCATCTAGCTTAAAATTTTCGTGTACATCGGTGTATTAGTTTTCGAGATATGCGAGCAGAAACACACACATAAAACACGGACACGATTGCAATACTCTCAGTGTTTTTATTTGATTGCTCTATTAATTATCGTAAAAGCTTTTATGAAGTTATTACAGCTGGCGTTTACATAAATCCCGTTATGGCCTCAGGCAATAACTGATTATATCTGAGCTAATATAACAATACGGATGTCAATTAAACGTTGTCATAGTAAATTTTCACGCCTTCGCTTTTTCCAGATACTAACAATGTGTCTAGACCAGACATTCCCAACCTGCACTTTTCAGGGGGTACATAGGGGTCTAAGAGTATAACCATGGT